TTCACATAAACAAAACATACATGTATATTCAATTTTTGTCAACATTAGGGGTATTATATTTGAAATAAATAGTTTCACTATAGGCATTATTGCATGATAACAGGGATTTAACAAGCATATTCAGTGAAATAATGGCTATTATAAATACATTATTGGTCAACTCTTCTTTACCTCATACACATATTTCCTATGCACTGTATTGCACCTCTTTTTATATCAGAGTCATCAGAGGCAGCAAATTTTAACAACAGTCCTTGTGGCTGGCAGGACAGGAGTTCACTGCAATACTGAGAACAAATACACTATCAGTATCACAATATACAACTGGTAGATGTTGATGGACGAATTTTACATTCTATATCAAGTATGTGAAACATTAGTGTTGTCAACATGTCAACACAAGGTGGGAATATTGTCAGATTAGTATTAAATGGCTGGATTGTGATTAAAGTTACTAATCAAAACTAATTACTGTAATTACTCTTCAGCTTTATTTGCTGAAGGAATGAATCAGTGGAAAAATAAAATGCAACAAAATACTCCTTTTCCTGTAATTTACATTCAACTAATCTGAAAGCAGTGAACATAAACTTCATACAAAACACCCAAAATGCTTTTTCAGCGAAAATTAATTCTAGCTAAAATAAAAACAATTTTACAGTATTTAAAAAGTTATGAATAAAACATTGGTTACAATTTTGTTGCTATACATCCTATTTTTGAAGTTGAATCTCGTTTATTACCGGTACTACCTTATAACGTGTGTCGTGTACGTCATAACGTGTGTCGTGTACGTTATAACGTGTGTCGTGTACGTCATAACGTGTGTCGTGTACGTTATAACGTGTGTCGTGTACGTCATAACGTGTGTCGTGTACATCATAACGTGTGTCATGTACATGATAAAACATGTGAACATCAAAATTTCTTCAGATTTTTATTCTAAACTGACAAATACCTTTCCACAATTGGCTCCATTTTCATAAACTATTGCACCCAGCGCTCTCAATGTGTCTGGTAATGTCCACGATTGACATGTCTTTGTGGCTGTAATGATGTATTCCAATAAGATATCTAAGGTATCTTGATTCAAAGTAATCTGAAATAAATGTTAAACAGTTGAGAAATATTCCTAAATTTCCATTTGGTGGGAGCAAGTAAAACACATAATCCATTTGTTGAACTTTTCGAGATTCCATGTTATTTGTGAAAATGATCATAAAAACAGGACAAAAGAATGTCAGTAGCGTAAAAACACGACATGGAATTGGACTCAGCATTGAACTATCAAAAAAGAATTCAAGTTCAGAATTAAATCATTTGTTTTTTGTGACAGACATTCGGTTAGCACAACATGAGATTTTGTAAAAGTCTGGAAAAATCACTTATTCAATGTTTTCAACTGTAATTCCTGAAATTGATTGGTCATAAAACACATGCTGCGTTCAATGAATTATTTTGATAGCATACTCACCTGTTGGTGTGCAACAATATTGACAATGACTTGACATGCTTTTGTGACTAATAACTCATACTTCAAGGGCACCAATGTGCATACTTTGTTTAATATGGCGCTGGCTTCCTAATAAACAAAACAAATGTGTGCACCGCTATATAAATGTGTACATGTATACATGTGTATGTAAACGAGGAACAGTGGATACTTTCTGGAAAAAAATCCTTGAATACAAAAACAATGAGTATCCCCTGAGGTTATAATATAATCTGTATCTTGCTATCTGTGGACTTATAATTTGTGTAAACTTTCTTCTATGAATTTTGGATTGATGGTGAATACCAACATTAAATATACCAGTTCCTACACATGACAGTTGGTAATAAGCTTGTCATTGCTGGTCATAACACAGACCTTTCTATTTAAGGTGAGTGATCACTTGTGAGCGATTCACAAAATTTCATTCCTTCCAAATTTCAGG